AATACCGTTGCAGGACGCAGATGCTCTGTACACGTGGTATGCAGGCCACGCATCAGATAGATCAGTCATCACGCACACGGAGGAGTTGGTAAAGCTATATGAGATCAGTCACTTTCCTGACAAGCTCTACCCAGGCCCTCCAGACATCACTACACATCATCATGCTGCAACGTCCCCATGGACTACGACAGATTCCTGCTGCATTTTCAAGGGCTTGGAGAGTCACGGTCCGTCGCGATGTTTCTACCTGGACTTGATGGATCACGAGATGGTGGAGATATACGCGTCCCAAGCCGAGCAATTGATTCAGGAATCTGAGTTCGAGAGTCTCTGGCCCCAGATAGAAGAATCCGACCACAACGAGATCAATAATTACGTCAAGCACGACTGCTTCAGGCCCAAGCTGAAGACTGAGTGCAACAACGCCAACTTCATAGACGCTACTTGGGTCAGACGATGGATGTGGAAGGAGAAATGGGTCGTGCGATGCAGACTTTGTGGACGAGGCTTCTTGGACAATCAGAAATGGGCAGTGGACAGACACTCTTCGACGGCAGCAAGAGTATCGCAGCGGATGATGGTATCGATCAGTCAGTGTGAGCCAGGCTTTGTGACAGAAAGCTGGGACATCTCATCAGCCTTCATGCAGGGCTTGAGGTTCAGTGAACTGTCCGAACGATCTCGTGAGCTTGGACTTGATGTACGAGAGAAGCGCGAGGTCTACATAGCCCCTCCGGCTAACGTCTGGCGCCACCTCAAGCAGTTGTCGGAGATGTTCGCCAAGATTCCAGATGATCAACAACATTTATATGTATTTGAGTGTGTGAAACCAGTTCCTGGACTCATTGATGCTCCACTATTGTGGCAGGCAGCGCTGACACTACACATCAAGGACAAGATGGCGGGCAAGCGAGCACTACTTGACGAGAACTGCTTTGTGTGGCACGACGACAAGACGGAGAAGCTCACGCTAGCGACTACAGTACATGTGGACGATCTCTTCCCGACAGGCAGGCAGTCATGGCTGGATTGGGCACATGCTTTGCTGGAGAAGAAGTTCGGCAAGATTACGAGAAAGACAATGCCCTTCACCCATCTTGGCATATAATATCATCGACTATCTGATGGCACCATCTTCTTGAGTCGAGACGCCTACCTGGACACGATCGAGTCACCACAGCTGGATAAGGAACGAAGTAAGAACGACAGCTCACTATGTACGGCCAGTGAACATCATCAATATAGATCGCTATGCTGTCAACTATTTTATATTCTTCAGACGCGCTGGGATCTTAGCGCGGCTACGACACAATTGCAGACAAAGCAGACCGCCCCGACGATCGGAGATTTCAAGCAGTTGAAGAGCGTGTTGGAGAGAGCCAAGAAGAATCGAGAACGAGCTGGCTTGTATTATCGCAAGATGATTGGACCGTTCCGCTTGGCAAGCATCAACGACGCAGCTCATGCCACCAAGACGACTTCATACGCACATGAAGCTCAAGGACTCTTCTTGATGGAAGATCGCAGAGTGAAGTTCAGTCGACATGGCATTGCCTCGAAGACCTCATATGACAACGTCTTTGGTGCAGCTCATCCGTTGATAGGTCAGAGCAGAAAATCCAAGAGAGTATCATATTCAACAAGTCATGCAGAGACAGTGGCAGCAGTTGGAGGTTCACAAGCAGCACAATTTACGGCATTGAGGTTCACCGAGCTGATTGCCAGACCTATGTTGGAGAAGACTGCTGGAGGTGCCCTCAAGAATCTGATGATCATGCAAGATGAAGGGCGCTCGATCATACCCATAGACTTCATCGCCGACTGCTACGACCTCTACCATCTCGTGACGGGCCTGAAAGGAATACCAGTTGACAAGACACTGCGTCTCAGCATTCTCAGCCTTCGAGAAGATAGATTATCAGGACGAGTGCGGAGATTCTACCACTGGCCGACAGAAGTTATGGTAATGGACAGTCTCACAAAGCCAGGACAGTTTCCGCAGATGCAAGATTACCTTCTATCAGGAGTGATACGACACCGAGGGCTGATCAAGATGAAGAACGGCATCGAGAACGTGATTACCGTCAAGGAGATAGCCTCCAGGACCGAGTTCACAGAGAGCGACCTGGTGAACATCCAGGTCTAGTGGGGGCCGGGCCTATCAGTCGTAGAAGCACAGAATCAGAGTGAGAATAGTAGGCCCCAGGTTCGACTTCAGACATCTTTTGAGGCTTCCTACGTCGCCACCGCCGGATAGGGCAGAGTGCCCTTAGCTGCTACTTTTTATAGCCACAGATCGTAAACATACTGTGGCTCAAGGCGAGAAATGCCCGCTCCCCCCTCCTCCTCCTCCTCCTCCTCCTCCTCCTCCTCCTCTCCTCCTCCTCCTCCTCCTCCTCTCCTCCTCCTCCCCCCTCCTCCTCCTCCTCCTCCTCCTCCTCCTCCTCCTCCTCCTCCTCCTCCTGCCTCCTCCTTAGGCCTCCTGCCCCCTCCTGGGGCCTCCTGGGGCCTCTTGGGGCCTCCTGGAGCCTTCTGGGCCTTCCGGGGCCTACTGGGGCCTCCTCGGGCATTTCTCCTCCTCCTTTTCCTCCTCGTCCTTCCTCCCCTCAGCCTCTTCCTCTTCCTGCTTTCCTGTCTCGTCCTGCATCATCCCTCTTTCTTTTCCTGGCAATCCTCCTCCTCCTCGTCCTCGTGCGGAACACGACCCAGAGGAAGCGCACGACGTGCGTCCCAGCCAATGCGCGCCGGAGGACGACCCAGAGGAAGCGCGCGCCGGAGGATGACCCGGAGGAACCAGGTGAGCTGCGGGACCCATAGGAAGGCTCCCGCCTGACGCGTCCTCACAATTCACTCACAGACGAGGGTCCCGCTTGACACTTCCTCCAAATTCAAACTTGAGGAGCCCAAATGTGACGACAGTTACAGGAATCCGATGACCCGCTCGGATTAGTAACATGATCTGCGGGCCTCATGGGGAGGGGACTCCCGCTTGAGACTTGCTCGCAATTCACTAACAAACGAGGCTCCCGCCTGATGCTTCCTCCAAATTCAGACCTGAGGAGCCCAAAAGTGACGACAGTTACAGGAATCCGATGGCCCGCTTGGATTAGTAACGTGATCTGCGGGCTCCATAGGGCGGGGGCTCCCGCTTGAGATTTCTTTACAATTCACTCACAGACGAAGTTCCCGCTTGATGCTTCCTCCAAATTCAGACCTGAGGATCCCAAAAGTGACGACAGTTACAGGAATCCGATGACCCGCTCGGATTAGTAACATGATCTGCGGGCCCCATAGGGAGGGGGCTCCCGCCTGAGACTTCCTCACAATTCACTCACAGACGAGGCTCCCGCTTGATACTTCCTCCAAATTCAAACCTGAGGAGCCCAAAAGAGACGACAGTTACAGGAATCCGATGACCCGCTCGGATTAGTAACATGATCTGCGGGCCCCATAGGGAGGGGGCTCCCGCCTGAGACTTGCTCGCGATTCACTGACAAACGAGGTTCCCGCCTGACTTCCTCCAAATTCAGACCTGAGGAGCCCAAAAGTGACGACAGCTACAGGAATCCGATGACCCGCTCGGATTAGTAACATGATCTGCGGGCCCCATAGGGGGGGGGGCCCCTGAGACTTCCTCGCAATTCACTCACAGACGAGGCTCCCGCTGATACTTCCTCCAAATTCAGACCTGAGGAGCCCAAAAGTGACGACAGTTAGAGGAATCCGATGACCCGCTCGGATTAGTAACATGATCTGCGGGCCCCATAGGGAGGGGGCTCCCGCCTGAGACTTCCTCACAATTCACACAGACGAGGCTCCCTCTTGGTGGATGATGGTGATGGGATGATGACGACGGTGTTTGATGATGATATATGATTGATGATGCTGATGATGGTGGTGGTGGTGATGATGACGACGTGATGATGATGATGATGGTGGTGATGATGAGTGCTGACGGTGAGTGATCGTGCGATTATAATGGTAAATGGTGGTGGTGATGATGATGGGGACGAAGTGGTGAGTCAGCGAGGGTAGTGATGATGATGATGATGATGATGATGATGATGATGATGATGATGATGATGATGATGATCCTTCGATGCCGATGATGGTGAGTGATCGTGCGATGGTGATGGTGATGCTGATGGTGATGGTGATGATGATGCTGAGGAGGAAGCAAAGAGGAGCAGAGGAGAGGGAGGAGGACGAGAGATCCTGCGCGGAGGGTGTGCAGAGAAAACAAGAACCCCACTTAGGATGTGGGGAAAAAATAGTCCGGGGACTATTCGTTGAGTTTTTTTTCTGTTGTTGTTGTTTTTTTGTTGTTTTCTTTTTGTGGATATGTTTGGGATATTTTGCATTTTTCGTCGAAAGTTCCCTTGTAGGGGGGCGGCACGCCCGACAGATACTAGGCCTCCCAGATGGGGTCGGAGTAGATCGGGAGCGGCCAAGAGGGGGATGAAGACCCGGGGGGGACGGATATCATGGCGGTGGCCATGAGATCTCCCCAGATTCCATGGCGCCTCGTCCTATCTCAATGCGTCCCTGGGCCCCCCACTTGGCCGCGCACATGCCGCTGGCCATGAGTTGCGCCCCCCCCTCTTGGATGCCCCCCTCTTGGCCGCCCCCGAATAGATGGGGTCGGAGGATCACGCGGCATCGCCGATGCATCGCCGATGCGGCTCGATGTGCAAACCGATTTGCGTCACGTCGACGTCGCCGATGCAACGCCGACGTCGACGATGCATCGCCGGTGCAGCGCCGATGCATCGCCGATGCATCGGCGATGCGGCATGATCCTCTCGCCCCATCTACTCTAATCCCATCTAGGAGGCCTTTACAGATGGATCCAGCTCGAGAAGCGCAGGAGACAGGTGGTGTCGATGGCTCGGGTTGCGATCTTTCCACGATGCTGCATGTGCTTCTCCATGTCAGATCTCGGGGTGCACCGATCCCGGCCAGGGTCCTTGCGCGTGTGCACAGTTCTCTGCGTTCTACAGGAGCGGGCGGAGAAGTTCCGCAAGGAGCACGAGGATCGCATGAAGGTTTTCGACAGGCTCTACGAGGAGACCCTGGACGCCATCCACCACAAGGACCCCCCAGCGGCCGACCCCAGCGCCTCAGAGCCGAAGAGCGACTTCGACAGGCTCTACGAGCAGACGATGGCGGCCATCCATGCCCCGACCACGCCTTCGCCGTGGGCCCAGCACCTGGAGGCGCTGCAGGCGCAGTACAACGAGCTCTCGAGCAAGAACGGGGAGCGCCAGGCGAGCAGGACGCGCGAGGCCCGCCGCCCGAGGAGCTCTGGCTTCCTGGCGTCCCGGAGCATAGGCTGGCACCCCGTGTCGCATTGGAAAGACGCGGCGCCCAGCGGGGACGCAGGGCTCGTCATCGTCGGGGAGGAGGACCTGCGTGCGCTGAAGTGGTCCGGCGCCCTGCCCCACGTGGCCTGCATCGCGATGGTGCCCCCTGGAGCAGACGCCGTGTACCAGATGATGTACTTCGTCGACAACTGGAGGCTGACGGGTGGGGCTAGGACGGATAGATCGTTGCAGAGCGTTCCAGAATGTTTTCAGAGCGGTCCGGAATTCTCTGAGAAGGCCGCAGTGCCCGACACATTTTCCAGAGCTGCGATCCCCGATTCGTTTTGTTCCGATCATGTCCCTGTCCTGGCTCCGTCTCAGGCTGCAGACGTGGGAGTCCAAGGATCGGGATCCCGCAAAGGGTGTGTGTGTGTGTGTGGGTGTGTGCCCAGGGGGGGGGGGAGTTCGATCGGTTTTTGCAAAGAACCGCTCAAAACAGATGCCCCCCAGCCGCCGGCAGCTTCCGATGGTTGCCGATGGGTGGGGCATGGCGGTGGGCATCTGTTTGCGGCAGTTCGGTGCACCAGCGGATCGAACTCATGCCCCCGCTCAGGGTCACCCCCGCTTTGCTGGGTCCCGAAAGGAGCTGGTTCTGGTGTACCAGCACAGCGACAGGAGACTCGCCAAGGTCCTCGACAAGTACGTCGACGGCAAGGCCGTGAAGGCGGTGGGTGCCCGCGACGCCGAGTTCCCCTCCACGGCGGCCGCCCGCTACGGCGCATGGTCCGTCAAGGCCGACGTCATCGCCCGCTGGGACTTCGAGGAGTGGCACCACCCCGATCAGCTAACGCTGCAGGTCAACTGGGTGCTCGTTTGGGGGGCCTTCCTGGAGCCCACCTGGCAGATCTGTTGTTCGACCCCAGTTCGACCCCAGTTCGACTCGAGTTCGGCTCGAGTTCGACTCGAGCTCGACTCAGGCTCGACTCAGGTTCGACCCAGGGTCGACCCATGTCGGCAGACGCTCGACGCAGCTTCGACGCACGAGCGGAGCGAGTGGCCCCAGGAAGGTCCCCAGCATGATCCTCCCAAGGTCAAGGCCCTCGCCATGACCGCGCGGCCCGCGTCCCTGCTGCAGCCGCAGGGCACCCACGGCCCCAGGGCCACGGACAGGGAGAGCACCCTCGTCGGCGAGGCCAAGTGGATGCGCGAGGAGTGGTACCCCTTCCTGAGGCACGGCAGCGACATCCTCGAGGAGGACAGGGCGCACCACATCGTCCAGGTCGACGTCCCGAAGCTGGACATCAACGCGAAGGCGCCGAAGAAAGCGCCATTCAAGGACACCCTGGAGGCGCGCGGTCGGGGCGCAGGAGTCGCGGGCCGGCCTCGGCGGCGCTCCCTGGTGGCCGCGGCGGCGCTGGCGACGGCTGGGAGGGCGAAGGCGGCGGCGGCGGCGACGACGACGACGAGGGTGCCGAGGCCGGGCGACGGCAGGCTGGGGCTCACGGGCCCACCTCGACCGTGCGTATCCGGGGTTTACCTTGTTCGCTCGAGCCGGGTCGGCCAACTAACGCTCCGCCCTGCAGCCGAAGTCCTCGAGCGCCCGTTCCCTCAGGAGCTCTGCGGGGTACTTGTGGGGCTCACTTGTGGGGTCCGAAACCCGGATGGCAGGGCGCCAGAGAGTCACCGAGCGCGTTTCACTGCTCGCAAAGTGCCTACTCGCAAACATCAGACAAACACATGTCCTCATCGATGTAATCTATCGTAGATCCCTCGCGGCGGATCCAGGCCATTTGCGAGTAGCCAGTTTGCGAGTAGTGCAACGCGCTCGTCTAGAGAGGCGTGGCCCCACTTGTGGGGTCCACTTGTGGGGTCCAAAACCTGGATTCAGCCAAGATGCCGAGTCAAGGAACAGCTTGCGTTCGGAAGGAGCTCGTTGTTTCTCGGGTCCTTCCATGGTTGTTCCTCTAGCGCTCCTCGTGCACACCGGCGCTTTTCCAGCCACGAAGGGGCTTAGTTCATTATCTCACGTTCCTTATGGTAGCAGCTTGACTGTGCAGTGCTGTTTATGATACATGCTCCGCGTGCGGATCATGTATTAAAGATGCAGGGACCTAGTATTAAAAATAACGATGAGTTCATGCATACATTTATTCATAAATTAATCATATACGAAAACCTTTACAAACAAATATCCTATGTATTAAAAACTGCCCTGTAGCAGGGCGCCAGAGAGGCGTGGCCCCTCGGGCTGCTGCAGCGGCGCGGTGCGTCGGGTCGGAGCCTCGCGCGACGCCCCGCCGCGGCAGGGAGCGCGGTGCGAGCGCGGCCGGAGCGCAGCTGGGGCGGGCGCGGGCACGAGGAGAAGGAGGAGGAGGAGGAGGAGGAGGAGGGATCTGTGCTTCTGGGGCGACGGGGGAGAGGGCAATGCTTTTGTAGGGCAAGAGCAAGCCTGAGCGGCCCAATCGTCGGCAAGAGCAAGCCCGAGATCAGAGCTTCTCGCGAAGGGCGGCTGTAATGATTGCTGTTGACCGATCAAGCGCGCCCGGCGAGCGTACGGGGATCTGGTCCTGGAAACATCGCTGCCCCCCCGGCGACCTTCAACCCACAGTGACTACCTACCAGACCACCACATACCAACCCGAAGACCCGAAATTGACCCCGGTTTCGGGTTGGGGGGGGGGTACGGGTTCCATGTGTTTTCCCAACGTTCCCCGACCCCCCCCCTGGAAATGGAGGGCAAATTGAGGCCTTCGGGTTGGGTTGGGGTGGCTTGGTGGGTGGTGGCACAGGGCTCGTGGACCCAACCGCGGGCCGTCCGACGACGGAGGGCCTCGCGTGCTGTCGATTGGTTGAGCTCTTCGCTTGGGAATGACTGCTACTGTTGCTCTCCCCGCACCAGGCATGATTTGCTCGATTGTAGCGTTCCCCCCTGGACGCTCGCACCCCAGTTTTTGTCTTGATGGTGAGGAGGAGGAGGAGGATTGATAATCGAGGTGGAGGAAGAAGAGGAGGAGGAGGAGGAGGAGGAGGAGGATCGAGGAACATAAGAACGCATGAACATAAACTTGTGGAGGTCCGTGCGGAACTCTGTTTTTGTTTGGTGATTGGGTGTCGCGTAGCGGGGGGGCGATACATGGGGGGACAGGGAGTTCTGCCGAAAAGGGGTCTCTCGGGGCACCTAGAGGCCATGCGGTCCCACAGGTCCATGTGACGGAGGCCTGGACAAGAAAACCAAGAATGCCAACATGTGTTCTACCTTAGAATACGGAGAATGCTCAGAATACGAAAATGAGAAGACAATGATATTATATTTCCTGGACTCTGAAGACACGAATGATTCTTACTGTGTTTTACACATATGAGCCAGATGTTCAACGACATGGTCCCCAGGGAAAGCAGATCGCGCTTCCGCGCACGCTATGTCTGTTGCTTTCCAAAGCCGAGAGTAGCGCCCATGGGGGCTACGCTGGATATTCCAGATCCGTTTCGCGCGAAACGCCATGCATGGGCAGACTTGCAGCACTTGCAGTGCCAAGGGGATGGCCTCGGTAGGGGGGAGGAGGTGTTTCGGGCGTTCTTGGGTCGTGCGGAATGCTGCGAGTTTGCGAGGTTCGCGCAAATATGCGTAATGCGGGTAGCCGCGGGGCAAAACGCAGGTCCAATGTAAAACAACAGGACTGACATGTTGCGCGCGCGCCTCTTTCTCCCTGTCTCTCTCTCTCTCTCTCTCTCTCTCTCTCTTCTCTGTGTCCCTCTTCCTCTCTCTCTCTCTCTCTCTCTCTCTCTCTCTCCCTCTCTCCCTCTTTTCTTTTTTTTCATAGTTCAATTTGTTCTTCCCCAACATGTCGTTCTCCCCGACTTCCTCTCCAAATTGCGCGCCGTTGCGCGAAGTGCCCCTGCGATCGCTCGACGAAGCGCCAATGCACATAACGGCAGCGCGTGTGCAAGCGTTTTCCACATGACGCATCGCATATCTACACATGGCACAAAACACAGCACAGAAGATAACGCATAGCATCGCCCCCCCCCCCCTCCCCCTCCCCCCCCCCCCCCCCCCCACACCCCGCCCCCCCCCCCCCCACACGGCCCAATGGCGAATAGCCAACGCATATTTTAGTATATTAAAGTTCGCATAACACATCATGTTATGCAAACGCGTATTTTCACACAGCATGTCGTAGATCCCTACTCACATAATGCATAACGCTCACCGCCAGGGTGAGGCCCATGGACCATGGAAGGAGGGGTAGCGGATTTCCTCTTTGCTTTTTGCGTCGGGCGTCTTGGGGTTTTTGGTGTCTGATGTCATGAGTCATGGGCGTCTCGTCTGGGGGTCTTGGACCTTGGGCTCAGACCCGCTCCTCCCCCGCCTCCCCCACCGCATTGCCGCTTTTGCCCGAGCGCACAAACGCGGTCATCATGCACATGCGAACGGCATGATAACCGTCAGAGTTGACAACTTGTTCGATGATGGTGTTGACCTGGCGCGCCTGGTGCCAGCCCTCGTCGCGCTTGCACGTGGGACATGAGATATGTTTTTTTTTTGGGGGGAATTCCAGCGCGCCCGCGCGCGCATCGCGGCCCGCGGAGGGCAATCGGCGACGGCGTCGGGCCCCGGGCCAGCGACTTTGCCGGGAGAGGGAAGGGGGGGGCAGGGCCGCAGCGCGCGCGCAACGGTGGCCCCCGGTCGCCCCGCTCCCCGCCCCAACCTCTCCGGCCCGCCACGCCGCTGCCCCGGGCCCAATCCGCGTTCGATCCCCGCGACCTTCTCTCCCCGACTTCCATTTTCCACGCCCCCCCCCCCCCGTGCCCCCCGCCCCCCGCCGCGGCCCCCCGCCCCTTCCCCCGCCCCCCCCCCCCCCCCTCCCCCCCCCCTTAACCATGCGCCGTCGCTCCGTTCCCCCCCCCCCCCCCTTCCCTGCTCCCCCCCTCGCCCTCCCCCCCCCCTCCCGCCCCAGATCTTCTTTTCGCCCTCGTCGTCGTCGTCGTCGTCGTCGCGGTTGTCTTCCTGTCCACCTCCCAGTCGCCCCCCCCCCCCCACCCTCTCGCCCGCCCCCTCTCCCGGCCCCCCCCCGGGCCCCCCGCCCAGGAGGGGCGCGGGGGGGGGGGGCGCGGCTGGCCGGGGCGACGAGGGCTCCAACGCGTCGAAGACGAAGCATCGCACGCAGAGGCGGAGGTCGAAGAGATGGGAGGAGAGGACGCGGCGGCAGGGAGAGGAGGGCGAGGAGCGGCGGCTGAGGCACCAGCCGCGCTCGAAGAGGCGCCCATGCGGGCGATGGAGTCGGACAGGGCCGACGCGGGTGGACGAGTTGTTCGCGCCGTCTGATGGGGGAGATGGAAGGGGAAGCCATTCCCCCCTCCGCCTCCTCCTTCCTCCTCCCCATGACAACCCCCCTGCCCGCCCCCGCGGCCGCGGGCGCCGCCGCCGGCCGGGGCGCCGAGCCAGCCGTTGGCGGCGCCAGGGCGGCGCGCGCGGGCCCAGAAGGAAGGCGCAGCCCGTGCTCTTCGCCCCCTCGCCTCCGCTTGGCGTTTCATTTCTGGCCCCCCTCAAGATCCGTCTCCCTTCTCCTACGGCCGATCCCCCCCCCGCCGCCGTCGCCGCCATTGTCGCCCCCCCATCGGGGCCAAATTGCGATGGGGGGCCCGAGGAGGAGTTCGATGATGGGGGGGAGGTGGGGGAAGGGGTCGGGGGGGACGGGGGTGGGGGGGGCGCCCTCCCTTCCCCCTTTAAGACGAGGCGGCAACCGTGGGCGAGCATCTAGGTGTCTGCGGTAAATCGCCCCGCCGTGCCAGCCCAGCCGCATCGGTGGCAGTTGCTCGATCCGACGAGGGCTGCGACGACCGCGATAATGGCGGTGCTGAGGATGAAATTGACATGTTGACGATGTGGATGATTATGGCGATGATGTTGACGGCGCTGATGATAGGGGTTGATGACGACGACGACGACGATGGCGACTCCGATGGGCAGATGAGGAGGGCGATGATGCTGCTGGCGACGAGGCCGAGGATGAGCGGTGCAGCAAAAGTCGGGATGACTAACATGATGGCGTCGGTGGCGACGTTGATGACGACAGAAGCGGCGATGCTCCTGTGGAGGGCGAAGGCGGGGATGGTGGCGATGATGATGGCGCCGATGATCACGCTGGTGATGAGGGGGAGGAGGGGGAAGAGGACGACGACGGCGAGGATCGTGTTGGGCCTGGGGAAGTCGCGGGTCTCGGGTCTGTTCCGAATTCCTCAGGGGCCGTTCTGGGGTTTGGGTCTTGGGGGTCCATTGGGGCCCTCTTGGGCCGTCTTGGAGGCCTCTTGGGCATTGGGTATTGGGCTGCCTAGAGACCTTGGAGG